ACAAGAAAAACATCCTTTTAAAAAGAAGAAACATCTGGCAGAATCGGGCTCAGGGAGGGGCAGCCATCTGCCACGAAAATTTGGGGGTGATGGGAGGAAGACAAGACAAAAGACACAGTATGAGAAAAGAGTCAGAAATTATTAATAACTAGTGATTAATTACAAAGAATAAACAGAGAGAGTGAAAAGAGGTAAGGGAAGAAGAAATAGTGCATCATGGTAAGCGCCCAGCAGCCTGTCAAGTGCTGGGGTGATATGGCACTATGAAATCTTAAGATAAGATGGGAGCTGGTTATTTAAGGTCTTGTATATGAAGCGAATATTTTAAATTTGATTCTGGATAAAACAGAGAGTCACAGATGATGACTCGGTGCTAAGACAGAAACTGATTTCACTCTTTGCCCAAAAAGTGATTTTAAATTGTAGTACTGGATTAATTCTCTAGGCTCTGAATAAATAAAATTGAATTGAATTAAATTTAATGGACTGAACTTTGATTTTGCACCTTCAGATCTAACAATAATCTTTAGTTGATATATACTGTATTGCTAGGTTTTCACTTGTCTGTTTCCACATGCAGATGAAGTTGAGTGCCATCCTATGCTTAATCCACGGTGTTTAATATGATGTAGGTAGGCTGACCCTTTGCACAGCCGAATGGCTTCAGCTTTTCTGGGAAGGCTTTCCACATGGCTTATATGTTTATTGGAATTCTTAACTGAATTCTTAACAAGTGCACCAGGAGTGCATTGTTAGGTTAGACGCCAATGTTGGACGAGAAGTCCTGGCTCCCACAATCCCAGCTCTAATTCATCCCAAAGGTGTTCTTTCAAATTGAGGTCGGGACTCTGTCCAGGCTAGTCAAGTTTTTCCAAACCAAACTCTTTCATCCATGTATTTATGGACCTTGCTTTGTGTACTGCTGAATAGTAACTTTGAAACAGGAAAGGACCATCTAAATTGTTCCTACAAAGTTTGGAACACTACATTTTACAAAATGTCTTGGTATACTGAAGCATTAAAAGTTCCTTTAACTGGAACTAAGAGGTCAAGCCCAGCACCTAAAAGACAACCCCACACCGTAACCTCCCCTCCACCAAACTTTACACTTGGCACAATGCAGTCAAAAAAATACCCTTCTCCTGGCAACTGCCAAACCGAGACGTGTCCATCACATTGCCAGATTGAGAAGCAGGATTTGTCACTCCAGAGAACACATCTCCTTTGCTCTAGAGTCCAGTGGCAGTATGTTTTTACACACTGCATCTGACGGTATGCATTGAGTGACTGTCTTCTGCTCGTCAAATACATTTCATTGCAATGTTGACCCTGTGCCAACTTGCACATGACAAATAAAACTGAAAACTGAAAACAAAAAATGCTTGGTGCACTTTCTCAGCCATGGAAACCATAATAAGACCATATGAAATTCGGAGGTCTGTAACGTTGACTCTGCAGAAAATTGGTGACCTCTCTTATTATACAGCTCAGCATCTGCTGACCCCGCTCTATTTGGGTCAGTGTCAACTATCACTTTGTGCCTGTAATGACTGCTGTTATTACAGTCACTTTCATTTTGTTTTGATATCACTAACAGTGGACTTTGGGATATTTAGTAGTGAGGAAAGTTAATTGGATTCTGGGCACAGGTAGCATCCTATCACCGTACCAAGATGAAATTCACTGCGCTCCTGAGAGTGGCCTGTTCTTTCAAAAGTATTTGTAGAAGCAGTCTGTTTGTCTAGGTATTGATTTTATATATGTATGGCCAGGGAAGTGATTGGAACACAATGCAATGTGCAGTCAATTATTTGGATGGGTAAGTGAACACTTTTGGCAATATATTGTATGTATTGTAAATCCATTGAATGGAAAAAAGTGTTTAGGATTAAATGTGGGATTTCTATAATCCAGAAATTTGACTGAGAGATACCTCACTAAAAAAGTATGCTAATTTTGAATTTTGTCCAGGATTCACAAGAGTTGCGACAGCAGCATGTTTTCTACCATAGTCCATTTTACACTGTATTGCAGATACTCTTATTTTAATGAAACTGTAATAGTGAGCAAACCAATTGCTGTACTTATGAAAGCAAAACCTTTCCAGTGCTTGAAACAAAATTTAATCTGCTCAACAGTACATTGCCTCTTTGGCTCTCTTTGTTTCATAATGCAACCAAATGTTTCTAATGGCTGAAGGGCCTTGGCATCTGAACTCTGTTGCTGTAATATGTTTAGAATTTGGGCTGACTTTGTCTTGTTGAAATAAGCAAACCTTGTCACAATAAAGGCAATGAACCTTGTTCACTACGGCATCCTGCCGTACTTCCATTTTTGTATATGAGATAACTCATTTACCTAACCCAACAGTATAAGAGGAGGAAGCCAGGAAAGGCATACCCTTTAAAGTGTTTCTTCAGGACACCAGTTTAGAAAAACTGTTTTAAAAATACTGGTTTAATTTGCTAAGCATTCAGTCCACGATTTCCAACAATAATTTCAAATTTGAGTTAAGTCAAAACTAGTATTGCCAAAACACGATTATTTTAATAATATGATAACTTTATTTTTGAGCTATGTCTCTTTTATGGTGGAGCACTTCTCTGTGATCTTCCATTTTATATACATGGAAAGCGGTTGGGAGATGAGCAGCGAAACCCCCAGCACAAAAAACATCTACCATCAACAGCAAAAGAAACATGATAAAAAGGAAGAGTTAGAGATGAGGTGGGTTGCAAAGTGGCTTGCAGATGGAGAGAAACAGTAGGTAAGGCTAAAGCTGCTTAGTACAGTGCTACCTAACAACCTGAAGACAACAGTCATTAGTACTCATATAGTGTACTGGCCATGATAAAATGCTTGTAATTTTACACAGAGAAATGGAGTTCTTAGAATGATGAGGAAATTTTTAACCATCCCTATGGTTCTCTCTCTCTCTCTCTCTCTCTCTCTCTCTCTCTCTCTCTCTCTCTCTCTCTCTCTCT